AAAGTCCAAGTCCTTGTAGACTTTGTCGATAGCGTATGTTATGTCCTCAACCCTTGTCTGTGTGTACACTTGTAAGTCATCAGCGTACAGGTGATACGTACACTGAAGGTGCTGGGTTATGAGATTAATGAATATTGAGAATAATAAGGGAGATAATATACCGCCTTGAGGGACGCCAGTGAGAAGATCACACCAACTCGACGACAAGTCATCAATATGAACACTCTGTTGTCGTCCCTGAAGATAGGAGGAGAACCATTTCAGAGCTTCTGAGGAGATCATAAGATAGGAAAGGATGGCCAGTAGAACGTCATGACTCACGGTATTAAAAGCATTCGAGAAATCAATCAAAGCCAGCACTGTGACTTTAGTCTCCTCCATACCCTCCCTAATATCGCTTGTCACTTTAAGGAGAGCGGTGGTTGTGCTGTGACCAGGTCTGAACCCAGATTGTAAAGGACTAAGAAGATTCTGCTGATTTACAAACTGTGCGAGCTGCTTATGTACACAGGCCTCTAGCACTTTAGAAAGAAAGGGAAGTATAGAAATTGGTCGAAAGTGTTCGGGAAGAGAGGGGTTAGTTTTTTTGGGTAAAGGAATGATGAAGGCCTTACGCCAGAGTGAGGGAAAGGTTGCAGAGTCAAGTGAAAAGTTTATGATATGAGATATTGCTGGAAGAACGTGATCCAGGATGTTAACAATCATGCGACGGCTGATACCGTCACATCCCACAGCATTGGAACGAATGGATAGGATAATCTTTTTGATGTCCTCAGAAGATACCGGAGAAAAGTCAAAGGATTTAATATCAGGGTGGGTTAGACTAGCTATATAGCTCAAGGTTTGACACTTGGTTTGATGATCCAACTGAGGTGTAGTTGAGAAATGACGGTTAATATCATCTAAACCAATTGTCATCTTAAACTCAGGGCGTTGTTGCTTGCCAATGCCTAGTGTTCCAAGGAACTTCCACACACTGGAAGTTGAAGAGGTTTCTATATTTTGAATGATATGGCGGCGTTTTGCGTTACGTATCACCTGGTTACACCGATTCCTAGCAGCTTTAAAAAGGTTCCATTTCTCCTCACAGCGATCCTTCCTGTACCCATTAAAACAACGGTCTCTCCGTCTCATAGCCATTCGAGTTTCCTCCGTCATCCATGGAGCCGGAGGGCGCTACAATTTGACTTTCCTCACAGGTGCGTGGATATCATACAGGTTAAGAACTGCGTCATTAAAAAGAGTAAATTTTTCGTTCATGTCTGTAGCTGCAGCCAAGTCTGTCCAGTCTAATGCAGAAGGGCCTGCACACAGGTTTTTCACGTCCATTCGTCTGAAACTACGAATATGAAGAAATTTGGGAACGGATTTAGGGGGTTTCAGGATATAAGAAAGGAAGATCAAGTCATGATGGGAAAATCCAGGAGCAGGATATTGACCATGGGAATAGACAAGTCTTGGAGCAGAGGTGATAATTAGGTCAAGCCAAGTATCTTGGTGCTCAATGTTGTGATGAGTTGCTTGAAGGGGGAGGACATGGAGACTAGTGGATTGGATGATGTGGAGGAGATTACGAGTACGGGGCGAATTAAGTGCTAGGAGATCGGTGTTAAAATCGCCCATGATGACGTTTTGTGAGTATTCGGACCCTAAAGATTCCAGAACTGTTTCCAGACTGGAGAAGTAGTTGATAGCAGGGGGCAATAAACTACCCCTAGTAAAACATTAGAACCTCTGACACAAACTTCGAGGAAGAGGTATTCAGCGGTAGTAGAAGGATCGGAAGAGGAAGTGGCAAGGATGTTGTAGGGGAAACAACTACGGAGGTAAATGGCAACCCCACCCCCTCTTCTTGATTCCAATCGGTCGTTTCGAATTAGTACAAAGCCAGAGAGAGAATAAGAGGTGGAAGCTAGGTGCGGCTTAAGTTTCCGAAATCAGGATGGCATGCACATTATTGTCAGTGAAAGTTTCAGTCAAATCACTGAAGTGACTGGGAACACTCTGAGCATTAATATGACACACATTTAATAAAAAATGTGATTGGTTGTTGAATGATTGCCGTAATCGGTCACCCAAAGTGTCAGGTAGGGAACTAAAGCTCTCATCCCCGGAGGAGTCATCAGCAGAAAAGTATACTTCATTATCATCAACAGTCATTAGAATCGAGTACACATATTAAATACAATACATTTAACTCTAATATAATACAAAAAAAAAATACGTATAAATAATATTTTACATAAATATGTAATAATATATAGTTTAGAAGTAATTACCTTGATCGAAGTTGGTGCGTATTTCTACACCACCCGCCAGCTTACACATACAAGACTGACATAATACAATAAGCCATAATAAAAACAGTTTGACAAAAACAGAAAAAAAATGAAATAATTTTAGACAATGTAAGAGGTTAATTTAAAAATAGTTCAGAGCTTCGTGTTCTTACGTTTGAGTTACAAGAAACGGAACGCACCAGTAATGAATGACGAATGAGCAAAACGTCGATTTGACAGATGCGATACCTGTCACGAGTCACAACACAATCATCATCAATTTATAATACGAGAAAGTAAGACAAATGTTAAAGAAACAAAACATGATACAACACATGAAGCGAGTAAGGACACAACAAAAGTAATGTTGTATCCGGGAAGCGACAAACAGTGGTGTCACACAGAACTAGTGTTTTCGCGAACTTTTGCTATTGATGCCCGAGCTTGCATTACCGGCTTGCTTACCCGGCGGGCTTGTGGATGATGACTTTGGAAATTTGACTAGCAAGGGCTTCAGCTCATCAGTGGATGTCACCTTCTACCGATTGTTATCGCTGGCTTTGATAACTATAACGCCGTCCTGTGTCCAACAAGCTGACATGCCGAAATGTTGCCGGGCCATGGTGAAAGCTGTCTGACGTATTTTAGTTAAAAATTCTCTTACCGAGAAGCCAGAGCCCTTTAACGATGTCTTGGAATTCCAGACTGCGAATCTAGCCTCTGCGGTAGTAAATCTTACCAGTATGGGGCGACGATGTTCCTTGGAGGGGGCGCCAATGCGATGGCAGTGCCTGATGTTGAGCCGTGAGATGTCATGAAGACCCATCCTCTTATTCATGACCTCAAGCAGGGTTGTACTGCAGTCCTCTTTGATAGCCTCGGGCACTCCCAAGAAGATAAGCGATTTGTGACGATGGCGAGTCTCCATAGCATCAACCATCTTAGTGCATTCATTTATTTGCTTCCGAAGAAGACCCAACATGGAAAACATCAGCTCACGAAAAGTTCTGAACTCCTCCGACACCCTGGCCACTGTCTCCTTGCTATTGCCACCAGATTGCAGTTGTGCCTCCAACTGAGCCATCCTCCTCGAAAAGCTGTCTTCTAAGTTGTTCTGTGCTTCTTGTCATCATCATCATCATCAACAGCCTATACTAGTCCACTGCTGGACATAGGCCTCTCCTTAGAAAGGAGGTTTTGGCCTACTATACCACGCTGGCCAGACGGGTTGGTATAGGGTTTGTTTCAAGTTTTCCTTCTCTTTGCAGTGCTGTTGTCCTGCTTAGTTTGCTCCCTTAGTCGGCTCTTACGACACCCACGGGATGAATTGGGGTGGTGACAATTTGTATTCTTAATCCGTCACCACACGGACGATGTGCACACGGATGTGCTTCTTGTATATCAGACAATTGAGACATAGTGATAATTGTAGTATTCAAAGCGATTATTAAAACACTTGTGAGATAATATTTTGTTGTGCTGGCAGGTGGTTAAAAAACCTTTCTTAGATCATGTAATCACTGAGAAAACTGTAAGTACATCTAAGCTAAGCTTAATTAGGCTTTTCTTGTTGTAATTGTACAAATTAATTAATTAAATTAATTAAAATATTTAAGAGCTCTTAAATGTGTGTATTAACTTTTTTAGCACCTACCCGAAATTTATTGTCATTTATGTACAAAGTTAGATTATGAAAATAGTTTACTTTTATGCAGGTACTCAATTAAAATGAAGAGAAGTGAGGCTATGCTGCGACTAGCCTTAAAGAACGATATCCTTAACATAACGTCTAACAGAGACACTATTACTGGTAAGTTATGAATTCGAAAAAAATTTTTGATTCTCAAAACAAATATAAGTACCTACTTAATTATAGCCTTAAATATTTATTTTATTTCGGTATATTTATGGTTTCGGTTGTCAAAGTGCCAACAGCGTTGTGACTATACTTCTAGAAAATTAAAGATTTAAAAAAGTTATACGATACATCTGAACAAAAACACCGTTGAAAACAACACTACAGGGCAGACCTAGAAAACACCATCCGTCGAATTCGCATCACATCTGTCCGGTAAAGTGAAATTGAAGATTAACAACAACATCCGAGGTCAGAACATTAATTAACCGCCATTTTGAATTATTTAATATTTCGATATTCAACTGTTAGCCTTGTGTCACTGATACTTTGATGTCACTCTGTCACTTAGTTCGGTTGTTATAAACTACAGTGTTGCCAGAACAAGAAAACCCAAAGTTACTATTTACTTTTACGTTCCGTTCGAAGTAACTTGGCCCGAAATTATGGAGGGACAATTTAAAATATTGTAAGGAGAATCCTCTCTTACGTCAGTAACTATCCCACCTCGCCTATAAAAGCAAGGAGCTGCAGATAGAACGACCATTCGTTGCTCGACGCTCGGACTGGACGGACGGACGGCTAGTCGTAAGGTTACGTAAGCCATTTGAGTTTAGTTTGTGGAAAAAGTGATAAAGTGCGTTTGTGTGTTTCGTATAGTGGATTTTAAGTTCTAGTGAACTGTAAGTAAATTTTGCTGATTGTAATTTGAGTCAATTGTGTTTACGAAGTACAAAATGGTTTTTTTGTTGTGAATCGTTTTTTAAATAAATTTCCACTTCTGAAGCTTATAATATTATTTGAAAAAATGGAAATGAAAAATCATAAAAATCATTGAATTAACAGAATCTCTTACAAAAAATATTATGGATCGGATGGATGAAAAACTAATGCCTATTAAGGAGGAAAACAAAAAACTGAAAGAAAAAATCGGCAAATTAGAGAAAGAGATAGAACACTTTAAAAGGGAAAAGAAAAGTAATAACCTAATTATTTTTGGATTAGTAGAGGGTGAAAACTCAACAGCTGAGTTATTCCAGAACATAAAGGAGAACTTCAAAAAAGATTTAAACATCAAGTTAGAAGAAAACGAAGTAAACAAATTAAACCGCTTAGGGAAACCAAAAGCCGAGAACAAACCGAGACCTGTACTATGTTCCCTCCTAAGCTAATGGAAGAAGAATGAAATTATGAAAAACAAAAAGAAACTAAATGGAATTTATATATCGGAGGATTATTCGAAAGAAGTATCAGAGAAAAGGAAAGCTCTAGTACCGCAATTACTAGAAGAGAGGAAAAAAGGAAGGAAGCATAGCTTTTCTGAAATACGATAAAATAATAATCAAAGAACCCAACACATACAAAGATAAAAGGAAAAGGGAATAATCTACCTGACCACAGTCACCGTCAAAAAGTCAGCCCAAAAAAATCTCCCCCAATCCGACTGGTCCTCGTGGGGGATGGAGACCACAACCCCCCACAACACTACAAATAAGAGAAGAAAAAATCTATATTGCAGCACTGAATACCCTCACTCTAAAAAATGAAGAAAACTTAACAGAATTTACATTCGCTTTCGTTTAAATACTTTACGAATATCAAGTATTTTTCATAGTGCTGATTATGATTGTATTAATGCCATTCTGTCAGATATTGATTGGGGCTCTATTTTGGACGTACATGATATTAATCAATCTGTAGCGAGGTTTTATGGCATCTTGGAGGAAATTCTCGTTGCTTATGTCCCATTTAAAACCATTTATAGTAATAACAATTATCCGATATGGTATGATAAGTTTCATAGGAAGTGGAAATGTTTTGGTCGGTATGGGGATTACTCTACGTTTGTTTTTTTAAGAGATAGACAAAAAAGGGTAGCGAAGGAATGTTATGATAATTATATAGAACGACGCATTTAGCTCAGCCGGGGTTTTAGGATGAGTGACGTCAGTAGTGCTCAAATCAAGTAAGGTGAGAACTGTGATCTTTCCGCTATCCATGCCTAGTCTGATGCTGTCTGTAATGTTTACCAGCGCAGAAGTAGTGCTATGGCCAGGGCGAAATCCGGATTGGAAGGGGTTCAGTAGAGAGCTTTTGGAGAGGAAGTTAGTCAGTTGAGAGTGGATGAGGCGTTCAAGTACTTTGGATAGGAAAGGTAAAATAGATATGGGCCGATAGTCAGAAAATGAAGAGGGTTTAGCTTTTTTTGGAAGAGGGATTATTTCCATGCAGATGGAAAAACACCGCTTGTGACGGAGTGATTAAGGATATTGCATAGGATAAGTAGAATTTCGTCAAGGATAGGAATAATCATATTTCGGCTGATGCAGTCACTTCCCACTGCGCTGGATGAGATCGCCAGAATGGTCTTCCTAACATCACAAGCGGACAACTGATCAAAGACGAGAGGTGGATAGTTGGGAGTAGGGGTAGTAGAAATATATCTAAGAGTATTAGCTTTTGTACTGTCACTAATGTCAGATGAGGCAGAGAAATGTTTATTGAGTAAGTCAATGTTGACATTTTTAGGAATAGGCTCTTGGCGAGACCTTCCGACTCCCAATGTTCTTAGAAATTTCATATTCATTCATATTCATATTTCATATTCATAGGTAATGTTACTGAGTTGTTATTTAAGACGGTCAATCTCACTTTGTAATTCTCTTGTATCTTTACTCAAACTCAAAATCAAATGAAGTCTCTGCCTATTTAGGGACATACTATTAATTAAAAAAAAATATTGTGAATCATTTTGTTGTTTTGGTAATTATTTTTTAACTTTAATGTATTTTGTCAATTTTCTCAAGCTGCATTTTACAATTTTGACAGGTTTATAAGTACAACTACTAGTATCATCGTCAGCTGTGAGATCTATTACCATAGATGGATGGAGACTGTCAACTACAGCCCGATCCAACCCCGGGGCAACCAACTCCTCGAACAAACTTTGGTTAGAAGCTACAAGGCGGTTGTGCTTATGAGTGTCGATTTTTGATATTTTTTCCTCTGCTTTTTGTAGTTGGCATTCTAGCTTCCTAATCCTTTTCAGTGCCTGCTCACACTCATCCCTACATGTATCAAAGCTGTCCACAAGGAGTTGGAGCTTGTTCCGGGCATCAACAGAAACTGTATACTGACCATGCAACAGACACATTTCTTTTTAAGTTTCTCATTCTCGTTTAATATCTCAAGGACTTCCCTTTCATTGAGTTTGAACTGAGTGCCGCTAGTTCCAGTGGGTCGGAACTGAGTGCCGCTAGTTCCAGTGAGTCGGAACTGAGTGCCGCTAGCCCCAGTGAGTCGGGGCTGAAGTCCGCTGATCCCAGTGAGTCGGGATTGCGTGCGGTGCGCGGTGCTGCGGTGAAGAGACCCCAGTGAGTCGGGGCGGTTGCTGCGTAGTGGCTGGCTGCTGCGTAGACGGGAGAGAAAATGCTCTTCTTACGTGGACCGTAGGTGCAGTGTGCTGTGCCTAGACGCTGATGAGGCCGTAGAGGTAACCAAGCTGGAGCGGTCGCTACCTGCGTGTGGTATCCCTGTAGAGGCCGAGGTTGCTGGCTGGCTGTGACTTGATTACTGCTCATCGCTGTGGGAGTGTACACGATGGTGCTGCTGATGATCTGCTCCTTTTGAAGGCTGCTTCCAATCACGTCGGGGTCACCACTGTGGAGGAACGGGTGTCATGTCCCTCCAACGCAAAGGGAGGATCCTCCGACCAGGCGAGGTGATCATGCCTGGCGGGCCGCGGCCCAACGGTTGATGTTGGGAAGTTGTATATATGCTAACCGGCGCGGGAATTCTTTATATCGCGATACAGGATTAGCAATTCTTATTTTAGTAGTTACTCCGTAGTTCGGTGTGTCTTTATTAGATGGCGCTGTAGTATGTTTTTATGTGTCGAGTCGCCACAAGTTGATCACACCTCTCCTTAGTTGCCTTTAATTCGCTTCAAGTCAGTTGAAGCTTGGACTCCAATTGACGAGCCAAGGCATTACGAGTCTGAAACATGGCTTAAGGCTTTGTGAAAAGGCAAACTATTATTAAATTATCACCAAGGAGAGTTGATATCACACAGTGGAGGGTAAGTTGTGTAGTGTCAATATAAGCGTCTTAAGAATTAACTACACTTTTACCGAAATCGTATTATAGAAAATAATAAATAAATCAAATAGCGATACCTGTAAAGCGATGACAATAAATTCCAGGCACAATTTTCAACACTTTTAATGTTATTCGTAACTTGCCGGTAACCCAAACGTCACTTACAAATTTGTTTATTTACTAAAATAACATGTATGAACTATTCTTATATAATTTGTGCAAGTAGCATTTATTTGCTTAGTGAGAAATTGGTATTTAATTGATATTTTAAACAGAATATAATATTTAACACGTTAATCGCCACGATAATATCAGAAAATTTTTCACATGGGCCATTGTAACTTTATTAGATAATTTACCTAACAATGTATCAAGGAAACTTAATGTATCACAAAAAAAAAATTGTGTCAAAATTCTCGGAAAACACTTATTTTTTATGTCACGCATATATGACTGACATGGCCCTATATTAAAACTTTTTTCTCGACAAGCCGTGTCAGTCTTATATGTCTTCTACCAAATCGCGTACGTCAGACATATATGTCTGTGTTTAGGAATTCAGGACTTCACGAAATAAAAAGGCAGGCGTGTGGACTGTATGCTATGAGCTTTTATAATGAACTTACAAACCGACTAAATTTAAATCAGACAGAATATTCATGACATGATTATGACAGTGAGCTTACACTATGAGCGTTAACATATTGCTAACGCATTCGACGTAGGCGCTCCAACATGCCCCCGGGCGTTGAAAGTACCACTTTCAACAAGATTCCGAAGATACCGGTAATGGACATATCCTGTTGAACGCCCTCCGTATTGTGCCAGTTGAGGTCTGGATGTCGGCGACAAGCACGATTCCGTCACATCCCGGGTGAACAGCCGTAATCCTTCCTAATCTCCACTGCAGAGGCGGAAGATTATCCTCCTTTATGACAACCAAGGTACCAACCTTCAAGTCATCTTTACAAGAGCGCCACTTTACGCGTTGCTGCAACTCAGCAATGAACTCCTTAGTTCATCTCGTCCAGAAATGCTGGCGGAGCTGTTCGATGCGCTGATACCGACTGGGAAAGTTAGCGGAATGCTCTTCAAAATTTGGCTGCGGCAGGGACGTGAGCGGACGACCGACGAGAAAATGACCTGGTGTCAGCGAAGTACAATCAGCAGGGTCCGAACATAGATGCGTTAATGGGCGTGAATTTAAAATTGCCTCGATCTGTACTAATGTGGTGATAAGTTATTCGAAAGTTAAATTACAATTGCCCAACTCTCTTTGTAAATGGTACTTGGTAGATTTAACACCCGCCTCCCAAAGACCGCCGAAGTGAGGGGTTTAAGCAGGAATAAAATGAAAGTTGATTCCCTCATTCGCCATACTCGCACCCAAGGAATCTCTAGAAGTCTTTAAAAATTTGGAAAGTTCGTTGTACGCCCCCGGTAACGGTAACGGTACCTCATTTGTTGCACCAACAAATGAGGATCGGAGTACAGATGTGCGGGCTTTCCTCTCCGTGCTATAAATCTATGTAATAATAGTAAGTAACTGCTGCTAGTCAAGTCACCTACGAGTTCCAAATGTATAGCCTTAGTTGTGAAACAAATGAAGATGGCTGTTTCCGCAAAAGGCCTTGTTGCAAACTCTGTCATCATCAATGTTTTTTAGCGATTTTATATTTTTCATCGACCTACCTACATTTTTGTATTAATAAAAATATATTTCTTACGTTCACTGAGCACATCGTTTTTATCACAAATTCCCTAATATTACCTGGTATAATCCGAAACATGGTCCTATCGAGCCTGGATGTGGAGTTTTGAAACATATAAACTCCGATCAGCGTCGTTAATACCATAATTACAAGAGGATTGGTGGATTTTAAAAATTATATTCAACAACCACAAGGCGAGTCATTCTGCTGCGTCATTCATGCGAAGAAATTGGAGGTTTACGTGGTTTGGATACATAATAGCTAAGGAAAGGCATATATATATTATTAAGTTAATCCACCCAACACTCTTTTTATCAGGTATTATTAGTTTAAGGCAGCCGTACCAAGTTAGTACTTTAAAA